TCTTTGCATTATATTATGAACATCCTTAATAATATCATTACATGGCGATCCTGCCATCCTTTAGTAATAACATTACATAAGACTCACATTGAGTGTTAAGGTTCAGTTAGACGGTAGTTAACGTAAGATGTTAAGAAGAAACGAAATGAAAATTTCGCTTTAAGTTAAGGCGGTGTTAGACGGTAAGTAAGCAGCTGATTTTGTTTACATTGGAACATGCAAATGAAATATTTTCAAAAGTTCCAGTCGGTAGTTGAGTGTCCGCAAGTGTAGTGAAATTCTGTGTTATTTTTGTTGAAAGTGAAATAATTAACAATAGTTTAAGTAAATTATTAACAAATATGTATAATCAAAATGAATTGACTGTGCAAGCTTGTAATTTGTTTCTAAACATATTGCGCTTGTACAGCATGAGAAATCAAATGCGCAATAGAAGGTGGCGAGTTCGTCCTATTAATGTGGATCGTGCTCTACATGGCTATTACCGAAAAACGTTTTTAGCCATAAAAGAAAAAGATAACGAAGAATTTTTTAGTCATACACGGATGTCTAAAGAATTATATACTTTATTATTGAAGTTAATAGCTCCTTCTGCGACAAAATGTGGGCAGCAAATAAATGCTGATGAACGTTTATCACTTACTCTTTTGTAAGTTACATGTACTGTTTTATTAGTAATTTTAGTAAAAATAACACGAACATTTTTTAAAGGTATTTGGCACATGGCGTCCCTTTACAGAGTTTATCATGGAGCTATAAATTGGGAAGAACTACAGTTAGAAACACCGTGTTGGAAATGTGTGATATTATTTGGCAACTACTATCACCAATATATTTAAGTGAACCTACAGAAGAGCAATATCGGCATATTGCATCAGATTTTTGGCAAACATGGAACATTCCAAATTGTGTTGGTGCAATTGATGGCAAGCATGTTGCTATTAAATGTCCTCGGCGATCAAGTTCCCAATTTTTTAATTATAAAAAATTTTTTAGCATCGTACTAATAGCAGCTTGTGATGCTAAATACACTTTCACTTCGGCAAGCTTGGGAGCATATGGTAGTCAGAGTGATGGAGGTAGTTATATTTAGTTTGTATAATAATGTATTGTTAATATAATAATAATATAATAATAATGATATAATAATATAATAATGATTGTTAATTTGTAGGAATATTTCGAGTAACAAGATTTGGTAAAGACTTTGCTGAAAACAAATTACCGTTCCCTCGCAGTATTCCTTTACCATTAATTTCGCAACCATTCCCTCATTACTTCGTCGCTGATTGCGCTTTTCCACTAAAGAATAATCTAATGAAACCATTTCGAGGAAATGTTACAAATAGAATACAAAAAGTATTTAACTACAGATTATCTCGGTCACGTCGAGTGATTGAAAATGCTTTTGGAATTTTAACAGCGCGATGGAGAGTAATGAGAACAACAATGGAGTTTAGTCCAGAAAATGCAGAAAAAATTGTATTGGCATGTTTGGTGCTTCACAATTTCATTATGCTGCATGATACAAAGCGATGGTACTGTCCGGAAAATTTTACAGACATTGAAATGGAAAATAATTCTGTAGTTAGAGGAGAATGGCATAACGAATTAATATCTGTTGAAGGACCATTGCCTTCCGTAACGTCTTTTGTACGTCGTGGTCCAGATAATGCATACAATTTGAGAATGTACCTAGCTAATTATTTTGTTAATGAAGGTGCAATTCCTTTTCAAAATCATATTAATTGAAAGAAAATACTATTGCATAGAATTTATATAATTTTTTTTATTAATGTGTTTAAAAAGCCATTTATAACATTATTATTATCAAATTAAAATATTTTTTCTTAAAATTAATAAAATTGTTTTTATATTAAAATATTACATTATTATTATATATAAGATATTAATTATTGATATTATAAAATAAATAATATTAACTATTATAAAATACAATTACCTATTGTAAAAATGTTAATAAAATAAATTTATTAAAATATTTTCTGCTGATTATTTTTGCTATATAGAAATACAATCAATATTCAGCAATATTAATAAAATAATTATATAAAAAAATATAATATAAAAAAAAAATTTATTAATAATCACATTCATAATCACAATATTTTTTCGTCTACTCTCGTTATAGTAAACATATTCCGCACATAATTCCACCCTCATCAAGGTTTTGCGAGCAACTGAGCACAGTTTTTAAAATCGCTGAACGTCAAAACCTAATTGAATTTGATTTTTCTATAAGTTCGCCACATATGTTTATTTCGTTCCTATCAAATACACAGGTTTGGTTGTTTGTGCATTTCGCTTTGACTTAACTTCTTACGTTAACTACCATCTAACTCCACCTTTAGATTTCAAATAAATCAACGTTGGTACTAATTACGAAAGCAAACACATATTTCTAAATAACTGACTATTCGATGGTACATACCATTTGATTAAAAAAGAACGAGAAGTTAAAAAAAAACGCAAAATTTTCATTTTTAATAATTTTCTTTTTATCGCCTTCAAAGTGCTCTCCTCCTGACCGTTTGACCATTTCACCGTCCGGACTTTGGCGTTCTCTTTTCGGTTTTGGTTCATATCAATATCAATACTTTGATATTGATATTGATTCGAAAATTTCCTAAAATATAGTCTTTGAGATGATCTTTCTTTTAAATATAATTTGAGCCCAAATTAGCATTTGAGGCATTTAGCGTGGTCCCAAGATTACTTAAAAACTATGATAGGTGGAAAGCTGAATTTTAGTGTCTGGAAAACTTATATTATTATCTAGATTTCAAATTATCTAGATTTATTATGGTTTTCCGCCCACTGCCACACCAACCCCCCATACTTTATTTTCATATTAAATCGATTATTATCGTTAAAAAAAGCTTTTTACACTCATTAGACTATACATATACATGACGTACATAGCAACACAACTTCGTGCAAAAAATTGGCGTGATCCGCCCATTACTTCCTAAGTTATTTGCAGTTTTATGCAATTTTACGAAATTACGATTTAGCAAAAATTGAACCAACTTTAAACCCCCTTATAGCTTTTCTACTATTTATTCCAAAATGATCATTTTTGATTTTTTTTTAAAGCTTAGGAAATTGTTATTCATTATGTGTAAAAAAAATTTCAATTTTAATTATCAATAAAATTTTATTAGCGAAATTGCACAAAAAGTCAGTAATTTTTTCATGGTCATTTCCACATCTATCTGCAGTACCCAAAAAAGGCATCCGAGTTTTTTCATGAAATTTTTCCTACTAATAGCCAAATAGTTAAACTTTACAAAAAAAAATTGATCTGCGCACTCTATGTTTTACACCTATTTTGGTCTTCAGAAACCAGCGAAAAATTACGAAAAATATGACCTTCAATAAACTTCATTTATTTCAACAACAAACTTGTAATGAACCTACTTTTTCCTAGCCGGGGTAGTTCTCAGCCTAGTCCAAGGTCTTACAAGAAAATTTCTATTCGCGGGGACCCAGCGTTCAACTAATGTCGTTTCTACCGTTGAAGTAAGATGTCGTAACACAGTAATTATTTTCGAATTCAAGTTTTTTTTTCCCTCTCTGGTACATCAGGACAGCTTACAATGTCCAACGTTGATTATCAGGAACCGCCAATCACCTTAAACTTTGCCACGTATCGGAGACAAAGAGACACCAAAGCCGCGCCACGTCGTTTGCTTATGGTGTCAACACGTTTATAATCTTCGAACGAGCACCAGTACAAAATCTTTTAGTTAACCACTGTTAAAGCCGTCAACTATTTCTTTTATACTGGGGCTATTATCACTATTATCCCGAGCACCAAAATAAATTTTAGTAGTAAAAATCAAAGTTTTATTTGACACTTTTTGCTCTTAAGCAATTTTTAATTTTTTTTCAAAAAAAAATAATTAAAGTTGTAAATCAAAATTTAGTTTATAAATAATTTTTGAATTAATTATTTCTTTATATGGACAAAAACTGAGTAATTCACACCACCGGTACGTTGCGTTTCGTTTAACATAACCACGAGCCAAGAGACCGAAAACTTCTCCGCTTGCGCCTTTTATTCTCCTTTTTTCCTAACTGCGTCGAGCGGACTTTTTTGTTAGCCGTTGTTCGGTCAATACCCTCAACATTTCCCCTCATCAGGCATTCTGTTGTAGACTTCTGAAAGCTTTAAATTACACTCGCAGCTTTTTTTCCTATTATCCGCTGCAATTTTTGGCGATCAACCGAAATGCACAAAGCAAATTAATAAATGACATTTCTCATTTTTTTCTATTTTTGTTTTGATTATGCTTTGTTTTTTATAAAATGTGTTTCATGCGGTTCGGGAAAATAATTTAAATCTATTTTAATTAATATAGTTCGAACTATATTAATTAAAATCAATATTCGTCAGGGTATTTCAAGGTATGTATAGCATATGTTAGATATGTTGGAGTACATAACATCAAATTTTATTTAATTATAGTTATCTTTGACGTCAGCATTTTTGTGAAACGTGTGAAAATGTGAACGTGTGAAATGCGTATTGTGTGACTAAAATTTATTCAAAAAAATTTAGTCGTCACACTCCCTCCTTCCTTTACGAGAGGATATCAATACGGATATCTCCATTTCTGGCAATACGAATCAGTCGAGTCTTGCCGTCCCATGTAGCCTTGAATCGATGACGCCTGCCTCTGGACCACTTCTTTAAATCATAGCCCTGCTTCTGTAACGTTGCTTTGGACTCTTATATATTTTATAGAAGTCGTGCTGCTCCTTGATGTGGCGATCGTCTTGCTGAAATACACTTCGATGTTTCACTTGTTGCTGTCGACTTTGAATACTAGGTGGATTTTGCGATGCGTGACATACTTCTACTTGTTTTAGAAGACGGATTGTTTTTTCCTTTAGGTGAATCGGACTATTTTCCTTTTGATGTAGTAGTTGTGTTAATGCTAATGATTTGGTAAGACTAAGTATTTCGTCATGTTTTTGACCTTTTGTCGAATTCGTTTTGATAATTTTATCTTTTTGCTTCCATGGTATTAGCGAAGTCTTTGACGGTGCTTGTTCTTGCGAGATGTTAAACACTTCTTGTACTGCGTGCTCTGGGGTATCTAGTAGCTGTTTTCCATCTGGACGTGGCGTTACATTGATAGGGCTTGAACTTCGGTGTCGTTGTACTTCTTCAATATTACTAGGTCTTGAATCTTGCTGTTGTGCCATGTGCTCATGTTTATCTTGCTGTTGACCAAATTCTGCTGGCATTTCGTTGAATTTAGGATTTGGTTGTCGTGGTATTTCTGGTATTTGCTTTTTTATATGTTTTAGATCTTGGTGCTGTGCTGCTTGCTTCATTTCAACTTGTAATATTTCCTGTTTTTGTATGACTCGTGGTTGACAATACTCTGCTGACATTTCTTTGACTTTAGGACTTTGTTCCGGTTGTACTTCTAGTATTTGCAGCCTGATAGAACTCGGATCTTGCACTTGTTGCATTTGTTTCAATTGGACTGGTAATGATTCTTGCTCTTGTGGAACTTGCTGTTGTTTACTTATTTTTGGATTTTCTGGGATTAGTCTTCGATCTTGCGGTGATACATGATGTTGTTCCGCGTCATTTCGATGTCGCATGCTTTGTGTTGGTATACTTGCTGGAGTAGTTGAAGTTATAATTTTAGATGTTCCTGTAGGTGTTTGCTTGGTGATTGGCTGGTGTTGCTGCTGGTTGCGGAAAGGTGACTTGGAGACTGGACTATGAATGACTTTATCACATTTCGGTGTATTGGCTATGCGTCTCATGGTCTTCTGTATTATCAGCGGTCGTGCACATTCCACTGCTACGCGCCCGAAGATTACCTCGCTATCTCGTGCTCGACTTACTTCATTTTGCTCTTCGCGTAATTCTTCGAAGTCCTCAGTTAGTGCTATTAATTCCTTCAGACAAGTGAAATTCCGACGTTTGATGTATATTTGGTACTCTGTGCTCATGTTGCGATATACTCGTTCTAATTGCGACTCTTGATTTAAACCTGCGTGTCGCATTAGTTTTTGTAGTTCCAAAAGATACATTTTAAACGTCTCTCCTGGTTTCTGCAATCGATTTCTCAGTTCGTCCTCCAATCGCTCGAAATATTGATGTGGTAGAAAAAATTTCAGAAAATCTCTCTTGAACGCTTCCCAGTGATTCCAGTCTTTCTTATTGTATCTAAACCACACCAAACCTTGTCCATCTAGTAACAGGGGCATTGTTCGAGGCAACATG